CTATAGAGAAGCTTCATTAGAGGGGTACTTGGATCGCGAGTGGGACATCTAGAGATATCGTTTATTTTTGGTGGCTACACTAGAAATGATTATGTACAATCATGTAAAGTCTAGTACTTTGTTTATTCCGCTGCTAAGTTCAAATGTAATTCTTTTAATGTAGTAGCCCTAGTTTGGGCTTATTTTTTTGGATAATGTTGTAAATATTTTATGGATAAATGGACCCAGTGTGATCAATGTAATATAATTGCACAGATTGTATTTTTGGTAGAGTTCCCCGAACAAAGGAGACTCTGCCCGAATGTTATTAAATTAAGGACTCCCGGTTATTTATGGATTTTATTAGTTATTCTCATGGTATGAATGGTTTTAAAAGGTAATGCCTTCCAGGGTGGTTTTGGGGCGTTACATTTTCTATTTTATCCCTAATTATTATAATAAAATCAATTATACTCTCTTATATATTTTTATTTTTTTACCTATATTTAACTTTCAATTTGTTTTAAACTCTTTTATAAGGACTTCGAAATTCTTTTGAACTCATTTATTAGTAATATAATTATATATACAATTATTTATATCTATATGATCTACAGTTAAATATATATTATATTTTAATTTTTGGTATGTAATAAAATAATAATATTATAAGAGCGATCTAATCAATTTATTTAACAAAATAAAAATTATTAATTTTATAATATAATTAAATGTGCAAATATTTAAAAGGATCTAACAGATACCTAAATAAATGACAAATTAATTGCTTAAAACATGAATTAATTATTTGACACCTAATTTATTATTTAATTTAATTATATATATAATTTATATTTTTTATAAAAAAAATATTACTAAAATTTATTTACATGCAATGCACGTCGTGCATTACTAGTTATTATTATTATTATTTATTACTATTTATAAATGTCAACATCTGTGAAAAACTTTTAATTTCTTATTTTATCCTTAATTATTGTTATAAAGTCAATAATACCCACATATTATTCTCATCTCATTTTTTTTTGTATACCTATTTGACTTTTAAGTCATTTTGGACTATTTTATTACAATATTTGAATTCTAATTTTTTTATTACTTTCATACATTTTTTATTTCCTATACCTATTTGACTTCTGAATTATTTTGGACTCTTTTATTAATAGTATTTGAATTATAAATTCTTTTACACTCATTTATTAGTAGTACACTTTCAAACATTTTTCATATCTATTTAAATAGAAAAATGTCTAATTGGTCGGGGAGATATCTAAACAAATGATAGATTAGATATTCAAATAGGGTAGAATAGATCAATAATTAAGTTTAAGAATAGTTAAAATAAGAATTAATTATTCTACACATAATTTATGATTCAATTTAATTACATATATAATTTGATTTTTTTTTATAAAAAATTGTTATTTAAATATATTCACTTTCAACACACATTGTACATTCCTAGTTAATTGTTGTAAAAGTAAGTGAATAATTAAAATACCAAGAAAAAAGGCACTTAATATTTTAACCTCAAAATTTGATAAATTTTAGCCAATAAATGATAAAAATACTCAAAAATATGGTACATATAAAAATATCCAAAAAATGTTGGATTTAATTTATTTATTATTGGATTGATTGTTTGTTTCAATAAATATTGGAATTTACCATCAATTCAAAAATTAAGAATAATTAGGTAAATATTATAGGAGATTTGAACAAGCTTTCAAAATATTAGCTATATGAGCAATGAAAAATTGAATTCACGAGAGGTTGTAATAAAACAAAGAAACATTAACATAGAAAATTTTAATGTAAACATAGGAATTAATAAACTAACCTCAATTATGTCGAATACTTGACCTGACTCATCAATTTAATAAAGTAAAACATAAGAATTAATAAACTAACCTCAATTATTATGTCGAATTATTGACTTGCCACACCAATCTCTTATAATGCTGCTTGACATTAAATTAAGAAAAATTAAGTGCCACAAAATATAGAAATTAGCGTAAACAAAAGAATTAATAAACTAACCTCAATTATGCCGAAAACTCCAACTTTGACTTCATTGAGTTTGTCACAGAAGAGTATGAGACCATATGACTTCAAATAAATGACTATGGTAGGCCAACTTCTAACTCTAACGTTAATGGAAGAAAAAACTTGTTTGATAATTTTGCTGGGAAAGTTTGATCCCATGTGGTATTAGAATCCTATATATATATATATATATATATATATATATATGAAGGAATTTCAAATATTTTAGAAGTCTTATAAGTAGGAAAGACAAAAAAATATATGTATATATATCACCTTAAAATTACTACTATGCGGTATTAGAATTCTAGTAGAGTTTGTACAATTGAATGAAAAAGAAAGAATGTATGGTCATAGAGATAAAGTTTATTTATCAAATTATAAGAGATAAAGTTTATATAGTTAATATTTTGATAAAGTTTATCTAGGTAATATTTTAGAAGTCAAGTAGGTATGAAAAACAGGAAAATATGTGGGTATAATTGATTTTATGGTAATAATTAAGGGTGAAATAGGAAATTAAAAATTTTTCACATATACTGACATTTTATAAGTAGTAGTATATAGTATATATATATAAGTTAGGTTAGAGTATTAATACTCAAGCTGAATCCAAAATCACATAATCTAAATATTACATTGACTAGGAATAATGGACATAAAACCTAATTTAGTGGATGAGACTTCCATCTTGTGAGATTTAACTCAACTCTACATTAATTATAAAAATAATTTGTAGGCATATATGTTTGATATTCAGAGTCAACTCGAATAAAAAAGTTGCAATATATTTTTTGAATTTGAACAAAACTTAGGTTGGGATCTTTGGTTTAAACTAAATTGATCAAGTCGGGTTCAACCCAATTGTTTTAACCAAATCTATATTTATATCTATAGTACTTATAAATATCAGCATATATAAAAAACTTTTAATTTCCTATTTCATTTCTATTTAAAAATGTTAGGTCGATCATATCCCACATATTCTTATTAACCTCGTCATTTTTCCTTCCATGTCTTTCCAAAACTCTTCTTATCATATAACATTAGATTTCAAATCATTCGCTCTACTTATTGTTATAACTTTAGGTCTTTAATTACAATATAACTCTAATAACTCAAATTACTGTATAATACGTGTATAGATTAAAAATTAAATTTAGTAATAATAAAAATAAGAATGAATTCTCCGACAAATAATTTATTTATTTAATTCAATTACACATATAATCTATATTTTTTAAAAGTTTAATAAAAAAAATATTATTTAAATATGTTCACGTGCATTTATACGTAATTTGATTTTCAAGTTTTTTAAATTCTTTTATAAATAGTATTTAACTTATAAATATTTTTGAACTTTATAAGTAGTTTTTTTAATAATTAGGTTTAATAAAAAATAAAATATATATTAATTTACAAAGAGTTTAGGGTCAGGCTCCGTCTCAGTTCCCAAGCGAAGCGGCATAACTCTCACTCTCTCTCACGCCGACGGCACCCATTTGTGCTTGTTTTACATCTCATCCAAACAAACGTAATGACAGTTCACTTATGAGTTATAATCTTCGGACGATTGGGCAAAAATGATCTCAACTTCTGTTGTTGTAGGATTCGATCTCAACCCTAATTAAAACCCGAATTGCAATTCACGCACATAATCCGAGTTCAACCCGAGTTTCTACAAACTACCCCTGACAGAACAGAAAGGAGAAATGTTGATTAGATTTAGATCGGTTTGAACCGTCTGTTATTTCGCTTGCACCTATTTGAACCCGCCGGTTACGTCAGTTTGACCCTCTAATCCCTCCCGCCCAGGTCGGCTACCACCCACTCGGATAGATTGTTCTCCCTGTGCAGCCGCGGGGACACACTCTCTCTCTCTCTCTCTCTCACACACACACACGGCATTCAATCTCCATCGCTCGCTCGCTCTCGCGTCTCTAAACCAAAATCAAGCGAGGACCGATGTGAGTATTCAGATGTTCTATAAATTCAGCAAATTTTCGAGCTATGTGTCTCTAAAAAGGTTTATTTTTTTGTCAATTTGGGGTATGAAGGTCTCGAATATGCGTGAAGAATTTACCCAAGTACATAGCCGAGGACCGCCTCAGAGAATTCTTTTCTCAGAAAGGAGAAGTTACCGATGCCAAGCTCATGCGCACCAAGTAGAGTAGCAAATTTGCATATTTTTTTTTAAATTGCTAAATTTGGGTTTATTATTTTTCACGAAAGAATTGCTACTAATGTTGCTATATTTGGGTTTTCTTCTGAATTAATTGATCATAGAGATGGCAAGAGCAGGCAGTTTGGATTTATTGGGTTCCGGACCGAGAGAGAAGCAGAGGAAGCTCTCAAATACTTCAACAATGCTTTCATCGATACTTGTAGGATCAATTGTGAGGTGTTGTGCTTAATTCCTTGTATAAAGGTTTTACATGGTAGTTTAAATGAAATTTTCTCTCTCTCTCTCTCTCTCTCTCATCCGTTTGCTTGCCTCAAATTAGTAGCAATTGTCAAAAATCTGGAAGAAACTGTGCGATATATATGGTTATTACAAATTTTGTACTTGATAATCCGGGTGGTTGAGTAAGTTTGTATGTCTTGTATACTGAGCTTTACAGATACAATAGGTATCACAGATATTCTGCGGATGTACAGCAATAAATATGCTTAATCTACACGCAGTACGTGTGCAAATGATATTTAAACCTACAGGCATTATGTTTGTGTATATCTTGGATCATGCACTTTTGTAAGTTAACAGTCTGTACTTGTATGTGCGGAGTTCATCATTTTATCCAAGTAATGCAAAAGTCCGGGTTCCAACCCTCGTAGAAAATGGCCATTTTAGCATGAAACATTTCCCTTTTTCTCACTTCATGTGATATATTCAATTGAAAAGCATGTAGAACACTCCAGTAAAGATGATTTTTATCTGGCTGCATGAGCTATGGTAAAGCATTTTGTTTTGTTGCATGCAAGAAGCATAATGTCGCACATTTAAGGAAATGTTTTTAACAATATGTTTAAGTGTTACCTCCCTTTGCAAATTTCCAGCTCGCTCGTAAAGTTGGGGATCCAAATATCCCTCGTCCATGGAGTCGGTATTCCTTGAAGAAACAAGAGAAATTGAATGAAGATGGAAAGAAGCCTACGGGTACCAACAGTCCAAGCATCACAAATTCTAAAGAGGAGAAAAAGAAGATTAAGAAAGACAATAAAAAGGAAAGTGAGAATGATGACCCTCAACTGCAGGAGTTTCTTGAGATCATGCAGCCCCGTAACAAGTCAAAATTGTGGGCAAATGATACATTGACAGTTCCCTCTCTTGAGCGAAATGGGAAAGCTAGTGATAAGCAAATTCAAGTGAAAAAGGAATTCAAGGATGAATTGGTGCCAATGCTTACTGAGTTAGATGGCACTCATGAGAGAGAAAATGTGCCATTAGACACTCAGGAGGCGGAGAAACAACTCAATTTGGCTCAAGATGATGTTGTCTCAGATATGGATTATTTCAGAAGTAGGGTAAAGCAAGACTGGTCAGATTCAGAAAGTGGTGAAGATGAAGACAATAATGATGATGATGAGGATGACAGTGGCAGCAACGGTTCGTTCATTGAAACTGTTGAGGGCCAGGATGTTGAAAACGTAGATGATAGGGGTCCAGCGCATACCCATGAAGAAGATGTCTCGGAAGAGGAGGTGGAAGCCAGGTCCTGTGAAGTAGCTGACGATGAAATGGGCAAATCGGGTGTACCGTTGCTAAGTTTGAAAGATGAGGAAGAAGAAGGTCTGGAGACTGGTCGTCTTTTTGTCCGTAATCTGCCATATTCTGCCACGTATGTGTCCTTGCTTCTATTTTTTATTTGCTGTCCGGTCCTCTATCACATCCCAGTTAGCTTATGAATTCATGTTTGGTTTGTGTAATTATTGCTAGTCCTTTAGGTTGATTTTCCATTACCTGTAATTTATGCTTTGCTTTTGTTTTTGTTGTTGTTTCTATTTAATTTTTACTTTTCATTTTTTCTTACATTCTGATTGCTGCATTGTTTTTGACTGAATTCAGTGAGGATGAGCTGGAAGAGCATTTTAGCAGATTTGGGAATGTCTCACAAGTCCATCTTGTTGTAGATAAAGATACAAAGCGGTCCAAGGGTATTGCCTATGTTCTTTACATGCTTCCAGAATCTGCAGTAAGGTATTTTTTTTGGGCCTAACTATTACGCAGGGCTTAATTGTCCTGATTATTGTGCCTTAAATTGCGAGGTATGCTTGTGTCAACCTATTTATTTGATAAGCAACCCCACATAATACTTAAAATGTTGGCCCCCTTAGTTGGGTATGATTATACCACCCCATTTGAACCACAAAACATGGCCATGCCGTTAAAAAAAAATGTCACCAAGTAGTTATAAACTCGACAAAATGTAATTTGACAAAAGGTTATTACATGGTATGATTGCCACCTTGATTTATTCAACCAATCATTAATAAAAGAAATCATTCTATCTAGTTTAAAATAACCTCCAATGGAAAAAAATACATTTCCACTAATCAATGTGGAAGAACCATCCAGAAAGTTAGCTATGTGGGTTATGAAAGCTTTTAAACCTTGCCGATCATCTAATTCATCTTCTTGAAAGCACACCACATCAAAACCTAATATGAATAAAATAAGTACTTAAAAGATTATGTTGTGATAAATAAAAATATATAATTTTGTACCAAGGAATTGAAGAAATAAAATTTGTACGGATTCACTTACCCAAAATAACAAAAATGTTCACATCCAAGATGATTATTCACTAGGATCATTAGTATTTTGTGAATCACATGAATTACCCATGGTGTGCGACTGCTCAATTTTGCCACAACCATGGCATTGTCCAAGTTTATCCATGGCCTTCTCTTTCGATGATTTCAAATGCTTTCCACATCCTTTTGCCCCAACTTGAAGTGAATCATTGAAATTTCGTTGCTCATGAATGTCCTTCCTTTTTGCTAACAATCTTTGTCCACATCTACTTGACTTCATGGCTCTGATTGATTCAATAGTTGCTTCAAGTGTATTTGTTAAGAGTTTGGTCCCCTCCTCCAACATTGAGGTTTCATCAACCGCAACTGAAGCAAGTTCGGCTTATTTAGTGCGCCTCATCATTGAGGACTTATCTAGCACATCTTTAATTTCCACACCATCTTGACCTATCACACTTGCAACTCCAACATTTTTTCTCTATCTTTGCATGATATACTTGTCCGGCAAAAGCAAAATTTGCTTCACTCAAAAAATGCTAAAACGTGCCAGAAATGTGAACACATTCATTTCATCTTCCATTGTAGAATTTATAACATAAGTATTACTTTCATAAATCTCAACTTGAAAAATATGAAAGTATTTCTTAGTACACATACCCACCATTTATTTCTCCATCGGCACGAGCGATCTCAAGTTTGGTTTTTCATTTGTATCACAATAATCTGCTGTGTACTCCTAATGTCGTACATGTGCAAGTACCCCAATTAAATTGCAAGACAAAGTCCATTAGCGAATTATTTTTCGAACAATACCTTTTGAAGAATGAATGTGAGATGCTCTTTGAATACTTGACATTCTAGCAGAAGAAATAGTACTGACATATGCAGGAACCCATTTATCCCGTAATTCAGACATTTTTTTCAGAAAATCATTATCTTCCTGTTTACTCGGTGCCTGCCCAAGTGTAAGCCAGCTTAGCCGCTTAGGGCCTCGCCTTAGAGGGGGCCTTACATTAGGCTTTTTTTTCCCGAATATATCTATTGCTTATATAATAGTATTGAGAGTACACATACCAATTGCTCTTGCAAATTTTGGTTTTTAAAATTAAAACTATTCCTATTTGTGATGAATTATGTCACAAAAATATTGAGTAAATTAGCCATACCATATATTCAAAAATGATATAATAACAAAACTTAAGTATGGAAGGTTAATTAGTACTTTTACATCTCAAAAAATAAAAAAAATAAATTTTAAACAAAATTTTGGTTGTATTACTTATATACTAATATTAAATTTTAAAAGGCCACATGTATAATTTTCGCTTAGAGCCTCGAATAGTATTGGGCCGCCCCTGTGTTTACTTTTTTGCAACTCGTTCTTCTAACATTCTACAAATTATTCCCTGGTCTTAGAATTACATATGCATGCTTTAAAATGATGATAGTGATCTTGATAAACAATTGAGTTTAGCTTTTCAGAAAACTTTTTCAGAATGTGCCTAGTACAATAATGATGGAAGGTACATGGAAAAGCTTGAGATATAGCCTTCGTCATTGTTGGTCTTGATAAGTTATAAACTCCCGGCGTACCCGTTGGAAACGATTGTTTGGCCAAATGAATGACTCAATAATCTCGTCAATCAAAAAGCCACATCCAAAAACAATTGTTTGGCTATGGTGGTTAACCCCAGTAAGTTGAACAAATATCACACTATAATGGTTTGTATTGTATGTCATATCAAACACTACAACATCACTAAAAAAACTATATGCTCTTATTGCAACAGGGTTAACCCAAAACAATGGTTCATCCTCTTATTTTCATTTATAGCAAAACCAAAGACAAATGTTAGATTCTTTTCTTGTTCAGATTTGAAAGTCAACCTTTCATTTTCTCCCTCATATTTCACTCATGGTTTCTTATATTTCTTTATGCACATCCAACATTTTAAAATCCTCCTGCATGTGCCTCTCAAATAGCAAATTGTTAATGTGTGGGAACATTTACACTTACAAATTGTTGTACTAACACCTTCTTTGCATCTTAAACCTTGCGGTGTGACCTTAACAAGTGTATTTTGCTGTTTATTGCAAAGGGGTGGTTATAACCCTCAACCAATTAATTGATGATGTATTTTTACCCACGTTAAACATCAATTAATTTTGCTCTAGAATCCTCCCTTATTTTTCTTCATAGTCTTTCTACTTTACTCGAATCTTTTTCCACATTCCCATTAAAAAAAATTTCCTTATCTTTTTTCTTCTTGTCTGTCTCAGTTGTTTCTCCTTCCTTATAACAAAAATATTGTTTCCAATATGTGTTATCAATTCCCTAAGTTTTCTTACTCTTGTCTATGCTCATACTCAAACCAGCCTTCTCTGCATATGAGTTGTAAAATTGTATGGGTCATCTAATGTATTGAACTCTTGACCTTCTTTTGGTTTTTTCTAATGTGAAACTTGAGGAATGTATATTTCTTCTATTTTTCCTATTGTAACTTCTCGTACAACATCCATTCCAACTTCAAATAAATCAAGACATGAAAGACGTGCGTATTTTAGCAACCAAACATAGTACAAAACTTAGAATAAAATCATAGTTTATAATACATCATATAGCTATGTGATTAAGATTATGATTCTTACCTTGAGAAATTTGTTGTCGAATCAGGAGAGTTCTAGCTTTAACAAAGAAAGATATCATCCTGATGGATGAAAGATGATATGGGAAAGAAAGTCTCCACTCCATTTTTCTGCAGTTCCTTGTTGTCGTCGTCACATTTGGTAGAGAAAGTGCACAAGAAACAAATGTTAGGAGATAATTTTACTGGAGGAACACAAATGAGAGTGGTTGGGGAAATAAACAAGGGAGAAGATAGAATCATAGAGAGAGACAAATAGCTAGAGAGAGAGAAACTAGTGAGGGAGGGAGAGCACTGGAGAGTAACTAGGAGAGGGGAGAGAGAGAGAGAGAGAGAGAAATATCATAAGAGAGAGAAAAGAAGATATGAGTTTGACTTGTAGATATCAAAAAGCAGACATTAGTTTTGTGCTTGGATCTTTGTTAATTGCTGGCTTTAATATACTGTTGCTAATTGTTTTTTTGATTGGACTTTTCTTTTTTCAAATAACCAATTCATATGTTGTCTCATTCAGGGCATTAGAAGAGTTGGACAATTCAATTTTTCAAGGCAGATTATTGCATGTTATGCCAGCAAAGCAGAAGAATCCCACCTCTAAACAACAGTAAGTAGGCATTTATTTTTTTTGTTTGCTCTTTAGGTAGTCAATTTTGCATTGAATGAAGTTATAGCTTCATCACTTTTGTGCTCTACAAAAACATAAAAAATGAATAAATGTTCTTTCTTTTTTTTTTGTGTGTGTGTGTGTAACTGAAGGAGGACTATTTTATGACTGCATTCACTGTGTAGGGCCAATTTCTCCAACCAATCTGCAAAAACGTTTAAGCAACAGAGGGAGGAGGAGAAGAAGACATCTGAAGCTAGTGGAAATACACGAGCATGGAACACTTTGTTCATGCGCCCTGATACAGTATGTTTCAAATCGAATACAGTACTGCAAAGCTAAATTTCCATGCAATCTTTCTGCACTTTTGGAATTCATATAAAAATAATAAAATTAAGGATGTTGTTTGTTGTATTCCTTAAATTTGGAAAGTGTTTCTAATACCCTTCAAACATTATCACCAACCTGTGGAATTGAAATGAAATGCAGGTTCTTTTGCAGTTATTTGTTCCGTTTCCTTCAGGAGAAGGAAAAATGATGTAAATGGAAACTTCATCATTCTTAGCAGGTGGTTTGGATTTTATTTTCAATAGCGTGTTGGTCCAAGTTTAAATGTTGTAATAATGTATATCCCAGTGACGTGTGCTGGGCTCTAGACTGAAGCTTGGTGATTGTTATATGAGTGAGCATGATGGGTGTCTTCATTGGACCATCAATAGCCAGTGTAGCTTAAAAGGATTAAAGGAAGAAGAGTCTTGAGAAAGATTGGGTGGGGACGTTCGGCATCGAGAATCTAATCATTTGAGAAAGGGAGATTTATGCTGTAAACAGACCAACTTTTGGAGTTTGGAATCTGAAAGAAAGAGAAAGTGAAATGAATTGGATAACACGGGGGATAGGCGGGAAAGGAGATTAGATAGACAAAATCTCTTTTATGAGAAATGAGAAAGGGAATAGTGTCAATAGTTTAAATTTATGGATTGATAAATGGAGGTTAAATGACCGTGGACATTTCATATATGTTGTCATCATTTGTGGGCTAGGAAGCACATATACTTCTTGGAGGGTGCCGTGGCAGTGTCGGATATGTGTTGGACATGGTTGAACACATATCCGAGGCGGCTAAAAATGTCCTCAGTAGTGAACTCAGTTGAACACGATCAGGTTACAACTAGGATATAGCTAGGAGCCTAGGATACAACCATGACACGATCACAAATTTTTTTTTTCAAAAAGAAAACTACTGTTAATTATTAAAAGGGGTGTGATTTTTTTTTTTAATTATGTATCTTATATACTATGAATGTTAATAGATGTAATGATCTTTAATGAAAATGGTGGATATTTATTTTACTCTATTTTAATTTTTGTCAAAAAAATTTAATATTTGTTAGGTCTTATTATTAATATTGTTATAATATATGCTTTATTTTAAGATATTAAAAATTTATTATTATCCAAAAGATATATTATATTATTTTAAATAATAGTATAAAATATATACTGTAATATACTTAACTAGACAACATAATGTGGAATGTAGTTTTGCTTTATTTGCTTATGTTTTTTTTTTTGTTGTGACTTTGGTTTAGACTACTGGTCCACCATGGATTTTCTGTTGTATTTGTGTTCTATATTTTTAATGACATTTTTGTTTCCTAAAAAAAAAAATTATATTATTTTAATAGTTGTATTCTTGGTGTAATCGTGTCCTATATTTTTTAAGTTTGTTGTATCTCCCCGTTCATAGGATGTCGTATCAGATACGATATCTGTATCTGTATCCATGCTTCTTAGCTCGTGGCACTGTGAAGATGGACTATGTCACTGAGGTTTGACATTTGACCTTGGTCACCAGGTTTTGTGTCATTGATCACTAGCTTGATGTAAGAAATCATATATAGGAAGGTGGAAAGAAGAGGGAGAACATAAAGAGGAAGAGGAGAATGAGAAAAAAAGGGGTGGGCTAGAGAGATATGCTGAGTCGGGAAGGAGGGAGCACAAGGACTTTCATATAGGTAGTCATGTGTTCGACGATTGGGTACTTTGTGATTGACACATCATGTTTTTCGTTCATCATTGATTTTATAAATGGGTACTTGAGGTTTTTATTTGAGTCTATGACTTTATATATTACAAAATTTGGAAGGACATAGCTAGGGTGATGTAGGAAGGCCATAGGTCCAAAGAGAAAGGAGAAAGTTCAAAATTTTGTTTTGGTACACAGTTTTAGTTAGTGTAGAAATAATATTTTAAGTAAATGTTTTGGAAACATTTCGAAAACCCAAAAAAAAGGAAAAATATGAGAATTTGTTTCCAAAATATTCCAAAGCATTAATTAAAACATGTAGAAACACCTCGAAATATTGAAATTTCGATATACAATCATTGATTCTGGTTTTGTTTCTATGAATATTTATTCATTAATTTCGTTTCAGTTTCCATGGAAACAGAACCATTTCGGTCATTTTGGTGAAAAATAAACAAAATTTTGATCCTTCACATAGGATTAAGATATTAAGAGCATTCTAGACTTGAAATTTAATTGCTAGGAATGAAATTCATGGGATACTGTCAAAATGAAAACAATAAATCTTTATGGAGAAGAGAAGTGAAAAACTATTATAAATATTGACAAGAAACTTTAAAATCCATAAGGTTATTTTTCTCAGTGGCATGAAAATGGTGTACGTCTAAAGGTTAAGGATGACTCTAGTACTTTGACAAGATCTCAAAGATATAGGTGATGAAAGGCAGAAAATTAAACATCAGATATATGAGGTTTACGTGATCAAAAAGATTGGAACTAGAGATTAAGAGAATTGGTTTTGTTCCAATCCATAATTTTTTTTTTTTATCTTTTCGTTGTTATCTATTTCCCGAGAGTCATGTGATAGGGACTATTAATGGGCAGAGCCCACGTTGGCCTTTTATCTAATATAATATAATCTAAGAAGGACGGACATGACACTTCTAAAAAAAGTAGGACAAAGACATATTGGGAACACGTTATAGGTAATTGTATTTTATATATAAAATTGTATGATTATCACAAATATAGTGATAATGATATATTATTAATAGAAAATTCAGTACTTTATGATAAGTAAATTTATGTCTAGTCATCTAGTGTGAATTTTTAGATTAACATCATAATAATTAATTTTATGGGAAAACCATCATAATAGTCAATAATTATTAATTTTTTCGAAAACGTGTACCAAACACATATAATTTAAATGATTGCTCTCATTTTCTAGATCTTTTATATATCTTTTGCTTTTGCTATTATTTTTTGAGTACAACTTTAACATGTTTAGTCTTGGTATTTATATGTTCTCTCATAGTATAAGATATTTAGTAATCAAAATTTTAAGCCTTATACATTGCATGTTAACACATTTTCATTGTTTAGTAGTAGATACGGTGTAGAGAAGTGTCAGATACGTCACGAAAGATGTGTCGGACATGTGTCTGAAATTAAAATTTTATTATTTAATTATAGATACAAATAAAAGAATACCGAACATGTGTTCGAGAGTGTTTGAGTGTTGATGGTTGACACAGATACATCACCTTCTTGGGAGTGCCCGTGCTTCGTAGAATAAAATACATATTGTGTTATCTAATGGTGAGTGGAAGTGGAACCAACAAAGATAAATCTAATTGCACCCCGTATAAACTTGTGACTAGTGTATCCCGATTCCTTCTTGTATATAAGGTAACTAGAGATGACAAATCAACATTGGATTGTCTTAGATAGTCTGATCTTGGACAACATTTGCCTTGCCATATATCTTTTTCAATTAGTCTTTGGTGATGCATATATTGTTCATGGTTTCAAATAAATCTTGTAAGTTTATATTGAACATATTCCTTTGAACAATCCTGAGATGGTGGAAATGGCATCAATAGGAGGTAAGATGAGAGAAATTCAATGGAGGTGTGTTATCCATGTGCTATGAAGACTAATAACTCAACTGACGATTGAGAAAAATCTATATGTTCCATCTAGAGGGTAATACCATGGGAATAGATAAACCAAAATTGATTTCTGTTTATATCAATGGAATCATGTAAAGACGTGATAATATGTCCTTTGAGGACTTCGTATGGAGGTAAATGGAGGAACAAAATTCATGTAGGCTCCGTCAAATAGTTGTGACAGGGCTTATGGGGCTTGGTTGAGTAAATTTGAGTTGTGTGGGTACCATTCATAAAGCTCAGGCAGTGAGGAGGATCTTCTATGTTTCAGCCAAACTGCTACTTTTCAGCCAACAAAGCAGCTAACACAAAAGACAAATATTAATTAATGACTACTTTGCTTGAGAAGTGTGGAGATGGTTGCTGCAGGTTCTTATTCCATCTCATGCAAAGAATTATTACTTGGAAAGATTGATACACAATTGTTGCTGGACTTATTAAGTGCATCTACGGGCAGAGTCAGAAATGTATGCTTGGGTGGGCACTCTTTGGTCGGTTCCATAACTACATGTTTTATTTTTCTTTACTCCCATTCTATGAAATAAGACAATTTACTTATATTTTCTCACGTCGTATTTTTGATTATTAAAATTTCATTAATCACCAAGGTTTTTTACAATATAAATCAAGCTATCATACTATAACGCTATTTTTATACCAAAACAAAATGAACCCGTAATTTCTATTTAAAAATTATTACCTAAGATATCCACAACTTTTTTGGATAGTGCCTAACATTTCATGATCATATAGGTACGAGTTTGCATAAAGTGATAGAACAAAAAATATAAGATGGGTATGATTAAAAAAATATGAAAGAATAGTTGGAATAAATATAGCTAAAAGTTTTCGAAAAAAATTCCAAGGTATGCCCGTATCCCACCAGGCCGTCATCTGTATATCATTGAGCATATGGTCAAACTGTGCTTTTCTTTCTAGTTACTATGACATGTTGTGTTGCTTGCAATTATGGCAACTTTCTTTTTTGCATTTGCTTGTTATGACACGTGTAGCTATGATTGGTTTCAGATTCATCTCACTTGTTTTCCCTTTTGGTTATATAGTCACACTGTTTGATTTTTAGAGTTTTGGACTTTGATTGTTTAATTTCCTCAAGCATGTCTGTTTGTCTTGTACTGATGGCTGACTCATCATAGTTTCTTCATATGTTAAGTATAAGGTCTGATCTAAAATTTTGAACTCACCATCATCCTTTTGTATGTCACTAGGTTGCTGAAAACATTGCTCGGAAATTTGGTGTAAGTAAAAGTGATTTACTAGACCGAGAAGCTGATGACCTCGCTGTACGTATTGCTTTGGGAGAAACTCAAGTGATTGCAGAGACTAAAAAGGCTCTTGCAAATGCTGGAGTCAATATTGCTTCATTAGAGGAGTTTGCTGCTGGAAAAACTGACAGTCTGAAAAGAAGCAATCACGTTATATTAGTAAAAAACTTGCCTTATGGTTCATCTGAAGGTGAACTGGCAAACATGTTTGGAAAGTTTGGGAGATTGGACAAAATTGTTCTCCCTCCCACAAAGACATTGGCTTTGGTATGAATTTTTCCACCTTCCAACATATGGATTGATATAACTTGAAATATGCATACTTGTCATTTCATGTTTATGGTTCATGCAATAACTTCTTTCTCAATAAATTTTTAGGAGTTGTTGGACTAGAAATGCAATTTATTCACATGAACTCCAGCTCACCCGGATAGTTTCAAGGCCATATATGTTCTTACTAGTTCGAATGCATATTTTCCCTTGTTAGCGTGATATTTTCCTTGAAAATTGAAGGATTGATTGCACTATAATGATTTAGAGGTTTTTGTGATTCGGTGATGATAGAGAATGTCGAGTGATCTTCAAAAGAGGATTATCGTGGTGGTGGTTTGGTTGCTTTGATTAGATAATAGATGAGTCCTTGTGTAATAAATTGCAAGCCTACTTTTGTAAATTGCGCGACTTGTTTGTTAATTATGATTGCAAAGTAAACAGAGAATGAAAAAAGAGAATAATATTAGAAGATAAGTTTGTGTAACAATCTTAACCTAAAATCAAGGATCAAAATTTCGTTTCGAAGTACCGTTTCGGTCAACTCAAAAATAGAAACGTTTCGGAAACATTTCGGAAACGCAATGGAAACGCAGAAAAAATATGGAAACGCATAGAAACACAAATGCAATCCATTAATTTATAAAGATATGCTAAATAATTTATTAATTCAACATATTTATTAGGTTAACATCAATTTATAGAAGAATAAATTTAAATTTGAGGGAAAAAAAGGCTTGACTTGAGGCGAAAGTCACTTAAATTAGTTTCAAACACTTAATTTTTATAAAATAAACACATTTTTACATAATATTAAGGTCTTATAATACACATGAAATGCTAATGAGTACATACTTACATGGTTACATCCATTCCCCTGTGGAGTGTCGAGCAGGCTCATACATCGGTGTAGGCTCTGGGTAGCTATTTAGAGAAACTCCATATGTGACATAAATATGATGACAATAGTTACTCCAAATCATATTATTATGGTAATATAATCCAATTAATAATACTATTTTATTATAATACTAATAATGAAGGGTATCAAATTAAATTAATGATACTTATGTATACTTAAAAATTAAATGTAATTGCAGTGGGTATTAAATGTAATTACAGTAGGTATTAAATATAATTACATTAGGGTATTAAATGTAATTGTTAATACTTATAACAAAAAAAAAGCAAAAACCTTGCACAGCAGTGAGGTATTAAATATAATTACAGTATGTATTAAATATAATTATAATGGGTATTAAATATAATTATAGTAGGGTATTAAGTGTAATTATTTATTCTTATAACAAAAAAATTATAAAAGACAGAAGAGCAGTGAGAATTAAATGTAATTATAGTGGAATATTAAATATAATTATAGTGAGTATTAAATATAATTACAGTGGGTATTAAATGTAATTATAATGGGGTATTAAATGTAATTATTCATAATGAACCGAATATATCACTGTTTTGTCGAAACGGTTCGAAACAATGCCGTTTCGACCGAAACGGTCCGAAACAGTACCGTTTCGACCGAAACACTGGAATTTTGTAATTCAACTACTGTTTCGTTTCGGAGTGTTGAAATTCCGAAACGTTTCGGACGTTTCGGAGGTGTCGACACGACATTTTGATCCTTGCCTAAAATATTGTAGGGCAATATAAAGTCAATACTACACTACCCCTAATATTAAATATACTAGACTGGTTTAAGACACCTGCCCCCCTCCAACTTATGATGTGGTAGCAGAAAACTTTTAAGAGTTTGTCAAGGAGAAAATGAAAATGTACTAGAGTGTGAGACTTCGTAAAAAAATTTGCTAACTACATATTACAAGGAAAAAAAGGGAGAGAGATTTTACCAAGGTGATGTCGCAAGAAGTGGCAGCCAATCTCAATCTGTTTAGTACATGGAAGACTGATTTGTGAGTAATCTGAATAGTACTAGTGTTGTCATAATATATAGGTGTAGGAGTAGATAAAGGGATGCCAAGATGACCAAGTAGTCATTGTAACTAGACAATCTCAACTGTGGTAGACATCATAGCATGGTGTACAATTTCCATAGAAGAACAAATAATTATTATTTGCTTCTTACTTTTTTAGGAGATAAGAGAATCATGCGATCTATAACGTCGTCAATTGAGTCAGCATCTGAGTAAGTCATGAGGTCCATAGACGAGGAGGAAGGAAACAATAGAATCTAATGCATAGTATTAGTACCTCGAAGGTACCGAAGAATGCGTAGAACACAATGGATAGTGGTACGTGCGGCAATAAGTTGATTCACATCGTGATCTAGTGCGATATAGTGTATGGTCAAGTAAAACAGTGTCATCGGTAAAAGAATACCAGACATTGAGCTCTATGGGTGTCTCAATTGTTCGATTATCTAGTAGGCGAGCACGTTGCGTAACATTCGAGGCATATTTAGACTGAGAAAAAAGGTAATTTTTGAGAGATAAATCAACCTCAACCCCAAGAAATATCAAAGAAGACCCAAATTATTTCATCTTAAAATGGCCCAGAATCGTATTCCAGACGTGTCATCGGTAATAGTCATATCGGAAACATAAAGTAAGAAAACAGGGCCATTTTAAATATATAATCTTCAACTCTAACCCTAATCCTATCTCAATCCGAGTTACTCAACCCGATTACTGTCCGAGTTTAATTCGGGTGGGCTCGGGTTGAATTCGGGTTAAAAATTGGGTTACTTAATTTTGGTTGATTTTTTGAAGTGTAGATTTGATTTTTCAAGTGTAGATTTGATTTTTTCAAGTGATCTGAAATGAAAGGCGACACATAGTTGAAGAGAGAGGGAGGCTGAGAGTCTGAAACGACTCAGATGAGTGATGATTGAGAGAGGGAGGCTAAGAGAAGAAAGAATGACGAGTGAGAGAGAGATCTGAGAGTGATGGAGGTGTAGGGGTAAAGAGTTGAAGTGAAGTGAAAGTCTGAACTCTAAAGAGTGAAGATAAATACTAACTCTAGTTAAATATATTTATGTATATTTGGGTTCAACCCGACTTAATAATCGGGTTCAACCCGACTTATTAATCGGGTTCAACTCGATTTTAATATTTGAGTTAAACCCGACAACATGACTTGCCCAAATTCAATTCGGGTTGAGGTTTTTTTGCCCAAGCCTAACCCAAGTATACTACTCCACGCTCTGTTTTTTTTCAAGTTGGGCTCAGGTTGAATTCGGGTTGGACTGCCCAAGTTGCATCCCTAAAGTAACACTAGAGTAAATTGCAGGAAGAGAGCAGAAGCATGATCATTGCCATGAAAATTCAAATTATAGATAATTGAATAAAACTTGGCAAACCATGCTTTTGGGAGTTTGTTTAAGGCCATATAAAGCCTTATGAAGTCAGCATACTTGATTAGGACGATGATCCAATCAAGAAGGATCCATAAACACCACCTCAGATAAATTTCCATGTTAGAGCATCAAACCCAAAAACAATTAGCAATAGGTAGAGTAACCCCTCAAATATATTAACCAGTCTTGGTGGTCCTAATTATTTGATATGAGATATAAACTTTCTTAACACCCTTTTTGGCGTTGGACACTGGCCTGCACTTGGGGTCAACAAACAAATAACCTTGCATATTTAGAAATTCAAATAGGTAGCAGACTTGACCCACCGGTCACCCAAGATCCAGATCTGGTGCTATGTTAATTATGCTTACAAAGTAAAAATAGAATGAAAAGAAAGAGAATAATATTAGAACACAAGTCTATGTAACATTAATCTAAAATACACAATAAAAATCCTTATATATTAGGGCAACATAAAAATAATGAAAACGCCTAAACTACCCCATATTAAGTACACTAGACTACTCTAACATGACTAAATGTCCAAAGGCATCCCCTTCCCATTATTTAGCAATTGGAAAGCAGTCTAGGGTTCTAAGTCATGTCATATCACTATGTTGAAGAATTGAACTGTAAATTGTGGTTGTTCCTTAGGGAACCAATTCCCCATTGGTAAGGTGTTATTTTCACCATTAATAAGGCTAGTTTCATCTGTAGTTTTTTGATTTTTTTAAATTATGGTAAGCAATCAAGGCCAATGTCAGTGGTTCTTTCCGAGGTTGCTTATGCAATATAAAAATTTTAGAGTTATGCTAATGGAAGGAGACTTGTATTATCTTGGTTCTGTAGTGATTTATATGGTACTTGGGTCTATTGATGTTATATGAGAGAGGCCAGAAAGGTCAGTGATATTCATTCTTTCTGGGGTTCAACAGTGAAATAATGAGGAAGCAGACTTTTTTAGTTGAAAGAGGAATAAAAGCTCTTTGGGGGATCCTCTTTTTTTGGAATTTGTTGCTCTGTTTTCCTTCAGCTGATGTTATTTCCAATTCTTATTGAACAAGACTAGATGTTTGGTTTTGTTTAATAAGGTTGAAAGATTTGGATGGGTTGCAAGATGACACAACAGAGTGAAAAAATGAATGAATTCTTGAGAAGTTATAGGTGCCACCAACTGAAAGATGTGGCTGCTTTGGTTAGGTAGCAAACAATAAAGAGCATACCAGTGGGAGGTGATATTGCCAAATTACAAGGTTTAAGGCAAAAGCAAAACATACATGAATTAGGGTAATGATGAGAGGCATAATAGATCTTAATGTCATAAAGAACTTGGTCTATGATTGGGCAAAATGTTAGATTCAACTTGCTTTTTCCCAATTGTGCACATGAGGCTTTGTTGAGTCAAATTGATGTAGAATGGGATACCCTCAATGGAGGTTCATTGAAAAGTTAGATTGTCCTTATACAATTAAACCATATTTGATGTTTTTATTTCATAAAAAAGGGGCCCACTGATTCTTTCATCAAAATTTGGCTTAATAACCTGGAGGTTATGGGCTTGAACCTGTGGGCAACCACTTTGTGCGAATAATATCCAATCTATCCCTCCTAAACCCCCATTAATGGAGACTAAATTAGGTGTCATTTTGATGTTATTTGTTCATGTTGAGGG